GGCGCAGAAAGAACAACGTGGCAGCCAAGCGGTCAAGGGACGCCCGGCGGCTGAAGGAGAACCAGATTGCCATCCGCGCCTCCTTCCTGGAGAAGGAGAACGCCGCTCTCCGCCTGGAGGTAGCGGACTTGAGGAAGGAGCTGGGCCGCTGCAAGAACGTTCTGGCTAAATACGAGACCCGGCACGGGCCCCTGTGAGCCCTCAAATCCCCACCCTGCCCATCCAGCACCACCACCATGCCCCCTCCTTCCACCTGACACCCACTCTACTCCCCAGACCTCCCTTCCCCTCGAATTTGAAGGACAATGTGTCTCTTTTGGTGGCACTGAATCCCCCCCCCCCAGTACCCCTGGCCCTTGAGCCCCTTCTCCTCCCACACCAACACACACCTGTATGATTCTGGTATTTTTGACTTCTATCATAAGCTTCAATTTGTCTGTACCTTCTTTTAATTTCTGTACACATTGTTTGACTAAATATATATACATATACATGGATAATGATATATATATATTTACACCTGCATACTTCCCACTTTAATGTACTGTGAGGAGTCATGAGCCAACCCACCAGCTGAATCCCCCCGCCCGCTACCTTCCACCTTTTGAGAAGTGATGCCATGTTTGTTGTTCACTTTCATACCGATTTTATACGTGACATCAGGACTGAAAACTGTCATTTCCTTTCTTCTTCGTGTCCCCGTAACGAGCTTAAGCGCCCGCTTCCTGCTTCAAACTTGCGTTTTGTTTTTGTTTTTTAAGCCCTGTTAAAGTTGTCTTCTTCTGTTAACAACATCATCTCTTTTTTTTTGTTCATGTTGTATTTTAGTTGGGTAACTCCGCCCCCCCCTACGTAAAGAAAACACGTCTCTTCCTCTGCAGTCATGCCCATTTTTCTTTCCTTCATCTCTCTCGGACACTGAGCAATAATTCCTGTCCACCGCTAACCCGACACAAGCATCTCTTAGCTCCGCCTTCTCTCCACATCGCATCCTAGCTCGTTAACTAAGCTAACGTTAGTTGACATCTGCACTAATGCGTGTCTCACAATCTGATCCAGTGCAATGTTTCCACTCGCTCAATTTCCTCTAACTCATATTTATCTACCTTTTATTTCTCAGATGGAAGATTGTTGTTTTGAGAAAAAAAAAATATATATATATATACATATATATTTCTGTTGATATAATTGTTAGTATTAATACTACTCTTGACATTGATGTTGTTTAGCCTCCTTGTTTTTCAGATTTAAGCATGATTTCTTTGACAGAATGAAAAGCTCTTTGCGGTTATTTTCTCCCTTTTTTCCCTTTTTTTTGTTTTGTTTTTGCAAAGTTGTCGATTCTTTTTGCTTCTGTTCAACTTAGCATGATTAATATGAGTGTTTTTACTTTAGAAATCAATCCAGATGTCTGTAGTCTCTCCTCATAGCTCTATGTTTGCCTTCTTTTAAAGATGGCTGTATGAATGTAAAAGGTGTTGACAAAAAGAGTTGGATGGTGTTGTCCAATACTGTGGTTAACCCAATCGATTTGTTTACTGCAGACCAAACGATTCACAACAGAGATGATATATTGGTTACAAGAGATATGTTTATATAGACCTATTCTATAAGTTGTTCTTTTTGTACAGTATTTTTCCTATACATTACTGAACTGTGTATTTTAAAGGCACAACAGATCCAGAAAATAATTAAAGAATACAAATGTATAACTCAAAGACAAATGCATATACTGGTATTTTGATATTCTGTAACAGGTAGGATGTGGTAGATTTACAGAGATTTGTGGACATCCAGCGGCACCCAAAAAGCTCCCGGGCATCGTTATTATGACACTCTGGTTTGTGCAGGTGCCACGTTTAGGCTCCCATTTAAATCTCATGTAACTCAAAAGAAGCAAATGCGGTTCAGAAGAGAGATTTGGGCCCGCGCACGTTCACCGCGGTTAGCGTCACAGCCTCCCCGGGGATCCGAAGCTGCCCGTGAGCAAGCTTTTAGTTGAATTTCCTGCTACATAATGAAACGCTTCACACAGCTCGTTGGTTTTCTTCTTCGATGGGATGAAGTTACTATGAAGGAAGGGAAATCTGTCGCTGGTTACTCTTGCTGCTCCGTGCGATTGGTTCCTTTTGGCCAATGCACTTGTAACGTGTCCCGAACCTGAGTGATAGACACCGAGAAGCTTTTTTTCTTCTTCTTCTTCTTTAAACAAAGGCTGACAGTGAAGATCTACAACGTTGTTGTAGTGTAGAAATTTCCGAGCATTCAGTCCAATGCTGAAGCTTCAGCTTATTGTATGGAAGTTCAGATGTGCCAGCATTAAAATGAAATTAATGGAATTTTTCTGCAGTGGATCATCTGGTAACAAACTTACCACCCACCACTTTTTTTTTCGTCCTTATCCTTGTTTTTCTACACGTAATAAACTCAGTTTGTGGTTTTATGTGCTGGAGTATTGGAGATGATATTCTCAAATACGGAATTATTCATGTAATCCAGCACGTATGGCATTTGTTACATTCCTGCGTTTTTAACACAACTCACATTTTAGTAGGTTAAAGTCTAATTTATCTATTTGCATTTTGAAAGTAAGTAAATCTCTATAATTGGTAAACAGAACTTTGATTTGAGTAAATGATTTTATTTTCTTACTGGCATCCCTGGACTTGTTATGTTTGTGGTGACGTGTTGAAATTTTAGTCGTGAATTTCCATTTTGTTCTTTTCGAAGTTGGAAGAAAAAAGGAACGACCCCAAAAAAGGCTGATATCCGCCCAGTAAAACAAAACTCACACATTCCAGCCTCAGCACCAGAGTCTGTTGAACGTAATCTATCTGATCCAAAGGCGTGCGCGATGTCAAATGATTATTTTGTAACTGTAAACTATCATCTCAGTGCTTTAGCGCTTTAGACGTTTCCTTCTCCATCCTAGCTGCACAGGCACACGGGAGAGCGTAAACAGAGTTTGCGGTAAAGACTGGAACGATGCCTCCAGAATCTCCGGAGCACCTTTCTATGAAATCGTATGCCGTGCGTGTATATATAAATACAGGAAAAAGCCAATAATGAACCCACGTGTATCCCAAAATGACCTCACTGTCAAGTGATTTCACTACCTCACCCGGAAATGTTATCCATAATCCTGAGTCTATTCCAGTGCCTTGAATACACCGACTGTTTCCCAGTCTCTCAGCAATGCAGTTTTCATCGCAGCGCCACTCGGATAGGTTCAGATCTGCACTGACGGGCTTCTTAGTGCATCAAAATATCTACACATTATATATACTAATAACTCTCATGTCTTATTTTGGACATTACACCAGAACTGTAACCATTGTATTCATGGCAACACCAAAAGACTGTTTCAGAGTGTGCGGCTTAGAGTACTCGGTCTTGCTTGTCATGGAATGGATGCATAACATTTACTTGTGCTGTTCAGCCCTCAGCCTCTGTCTCTGTACATTGTAGCGTCTAATAAAATCCCAGTGCTTTTCTGCTTTGTCGTATTTTTCTGCCCGATTACAAAAGATCGCAGACGTTTGGTAAGAGTCCGTGTGGCACTGAACTCTGGGTCAGACTCGTTATTAAAAACATGTTTTCTGATGTTAATTTGTTACTTTTACAGCTTCTTTGTGCCTGACATGAAAAGCATCAGACAGGGACGTGATTGTTGACCAATCACATTTGAGCTGGCTGCGAACAGTGTGACAGTGAATTTGCTTTTCCTTTGTGTCAGCATCCTTATTTAAAAAAACTGGCACACAAAACAGGAAGCCTTAGCCTGGATGTCCATGATGACCCAGTAACTACCCTGAAAATCCAGTAAAACTGAGAAACTAACTAATTAACTCAATCAGTTAAATATTTAAAATAAAACTAGAAAAATTATACTTTTGATGGATGAGTAGTTTTTAAAGTTGAACTGCACATCAATCTTCTCTTCAAAAGCACTCAATATGTGCTGTGTGAGCTTATACATCCTTCATTTAGTTAATCTGAAGAATCAGTTTTTCCTTAATGTGTTCAAGAGTTTCCACTATGGGGTGCCGGTTTAACTCTCCTGTCATTTCTTCACTTATCTAATAAAACTGAAAAAGGCCAAAATGAGACTCCACTCTGAGCACTTCCTGAACGACCAGCCTTCTTGTCCCATAATCGCAGACACTCGTCGGCGGAGGCTCAACTCATCCTCTTCGAGCCACGATCGGATTCCTTGGGTCGACGGCTGCAGCTCGTGGCTGTAGGCGAGGGTGGGAATGTAAATCACCCAGTAGATGGACCAGTGGGATCACAGGATGGTAACCTCAGAGATATTTCCTGCTTTGTGTGAAGAGAAATGATGCTGTGTGTCTAAAAAACACAATTATCCTATCGTTATTGAAAGAAACACAAAGTAATGTAAATATCACACCGAATACTGAATCCTGTTTGGATTCGTGCTTCAGGGCCTTTTTAAAATTATGATCATTATGATCATAAAAGTTTAAATTAATAAGTGTAAAAGTGTATAAATCAGGCTTGACACTCACTACCAAAAATATATTTGTAGCACAAAGAAGTAAAAGTTGTGACATTAGCGCTGAATATAATATAACGGATAATTATGCAGACTCTGGGGCTTTCTTGTTAAAGCAGAATTACATATTTATCTGTTGTAGAGGGATATTAAAAAAAACCAGCAGCAGCCTAAATGAAGAGCCTGAGATGTGCTCGTCTAAATCCTCTTAGAAACTCAATAAAGGCAGATTCTAGTTTCTTTTGTATGGAGCGTCTAATGAGAGCTGGATTAGACACAGACAGTCAGTGCAAAGTGAATTTAGGAGAAAACCTGAAAGAGATGCAGACGTAGGGTTTCCTCGTTTTTTTATTCTCACATCAGAAAGGTGGAGAAGCTTTCATGGTTATGCAGCACCGTTAACAGCCAACAGAAGATATGAGAAGAGTTTTGTTTCCC